ACAGGACAGGGGCCAGGAGGGAAGCGGCTCCTCCCCACGGGCAAAGCCAGCCTGGCCCGGGCTCACCGTTGCCGGCGTGGGACAGCTCCCGGGCTCTGCGGAAGCGGAGGGGCCGAGGGACCGGCAGGGACATGCCCGCCTGCCTGATCGGCACAGACCGGCCTCAGACCCAGACGGCCAAGGGAGGTCCGGTCACACTGAGACCGGAACCAGAACTGAGCCTCCCCCAGACCAGCGCTCCTTCCCCAAGTCAACTCTCGCTTTCTAGAGGCTTTCTTGCTCCTCCCCCTGCATCCCTCCTACTGCTCAAGCTTGCTTCTTTCCAGTGCCGCCAGTCCTTGGAAATAACTGAAGTCTTCCCCTCCACCTACCCGTGACACCCAGCCCCCCTCCCCCTACTGCTGTTGGAAGCGTCCCCAGTTCCTTTCCCAAACCTTTGATCATTTGGTGGCTTGTGGTCCAATTTCTCTACTCCCCTTTTAAACCTGGCGCTCTGCATAGGACAGTGTATTCTAACCATTAGTCCTGGGTAGAACTGGGAATGGTACCAAAGTTTTCTCATTCTCAGGCCGGCCAACTGCCATCTCCTGTGGGTTCTTCTGAGCATTTTCATCCTGAAAGCCTCACGAGGAGGGGTGGGAATTGGCAGGGGATACTATTAACTGATAAACATTTTTAAAAGACCAATGCAAGTGTATGCAGCCTTGGTATATGCCAGCAGGTGGTATGTGGGTGGTTGTATTTTACTGCATTTACTGTAGGTTTAGATTTGGGTTGTGAGTTAAATAGGGTGGTCTGACCCTGTGGTGGGGGGTGGGCCCCTTTGGAAAGCAGGAATATGGCTTTAGCGGCTCCTACCAAATTTTCCTTCTTTCCAGTCGATTTGGCGATTTATCTTAAGGAATAAGGCACCTGCCTGTTTGACAGTTCCTTGGAAACCACTATCAATGTTTGTTTCCTGACTCCTAGCAGGCCTCTGGGGTGCAGCTATCATGTTTAAGTAAACAGGCCACTTGCCCACTCAGCTGGCAGCTTGATGGAAGCCCACGCCTAGATCTTGTCAAATCCCTTTGTGGTTGAGAGTCTGCCAGGCCTAGAGGTGGTGAAGTGAGCTGAGCAGGGTTGGGGAATGGGTGCTACAGAAGCCTTCCCGGATGGAGGCGGGCAGGCAGAGTTCGAGACCCATCGTGTGAATGGAGAGGCACAGTTGGCCCAGGTCCCCAAACACCTGTTTCCCCCACCTCCCCTCTCCATGTGATAGAGGGCTGGGGGGAGCTAGTGTTCCCTCCATGTAGCAGATGGTCCCTGCACTCAGGAGGAGGCAGCGGGTGATGAAAGCAGGTTCGATGGAACGGTTCTACCTGAAGGAGGTGTTAGTCTCTAAATAACCATGAGTGGGCTTGTCGGAATTAGTCATAATTGCGGTTTTTCTCTGAGATAGCTCGCAGTCATGTTATCTTATGACCAGGGTGTCTTGAATATGACACCCCCTGAACGTGGATAATTATATAGAACCAAAAGGTATAGAAAGTGCACACACACACTCAAGTTTGACGGCTAAAAATAATCCAGCAGAGAGCCTGTGAGAACACATGACTTTCCCCATCAGAGTTGTTAAGGAAGAGGTTTCTAAGTTACCAAACTTACTGACAGTTGAGCCTTCCCGAGGCATGTGTGGGAGTTAGAAGGCAAGTCTGTGATAATTCTGTCGAAGCTGTGGCAAATTAATAGCCGTTCCTGGGCGGCGGGGAGGGTGGGCAGAGAGGGGGAGTTGGTTTACCAGTTGAGTTTATCTTGGACAGAACAGTTGGACAGTTATGAGCTTCTCATGCCTCCCTGAGTTCAAGCGCCGAGCTGCTTAATTACAAGTGAAAGACTTTAGCACTCAACTAAAAGTAAAGGGGGGAGAAAAACCCCCACATTCTTCACAGTTGATCAGAAAATCGACGAAAATAACAAGGAGCTGGGCAGGCTTTGTGGACGCCAAGGAGACGGCTCCTGAACTGCCGGCAGCCAAACTGGATGCGAAAGACAAGCAGTGGAAAAATGGGAGTGTGAGTGTGGATGCAGACTTGGTCTGGGAGTACAATGGAGCAAACAGAGAGGCCTTTCAGTTCAGAAAGAGAAGGCAGACTCTGAACGGAGTAGGATTTCAGGAACACAAAGGGATATTGTGTTTTGTTCAAATGTGGTTTTCGTGGAGAGGAAGGGGAGGCACCCTAAGCTCTGGCCATTGTGGTCCTATGCACAGAGTGGTCATGCCGGTGGGTAGAGCTAAGGGGCATGAGTTGCATGGCTCAGGGTTGTGTGAGGAGGGCAGCCTGGAGTAAGTGAACGTGACATGAGTATATAATTCAAGTGTGGAATTGGAAGGGATATATCAGAAAGCCTTTTTGGAGGCAGTTTCATAGGTAGTAGCTCGCTGAAGCCCACCTTCTGGCACTTCTGGGCAGTGGGTGGGGCAGGTGGGAGTCCCTGGTTCACCCAGCTGGTTCCAGGTGACGGGTAGTAGACCCACCACAGATGCCCTGGGGGAAAGCTCTGAAGCAACAGGTAAGACTTTTGGACCTAAGATAATAAGGAAGCACTGAATAAGCAGAAAATCAAAACCAAAGCCTAAAAACCTTACCACTTAATTAAGTCTTTGCTATGCACCAGGCCTGGCGCTTACAGCCTTACCTGCAGTATTTCTATCCTCATGTTGCAGATAAAGAGGCTGATGTTTGGATTTCGCAGGTTAAATAATGTTTTCAAGGTCATATTGCTATTCTGTAGATGAGGAAAAGTGAGGTACCGGAAAGGGAGAATGACTGTGCCATGGCCACCCAGCTAGCTCTCCACAGGGCCTGAAATGGAATGCAGGTCTTATGTCACTGGGCCCGTGCCCTTTGCTCCCAAAGATGCTGCTTCTCGTAGACCAAGAGGCTCTGAGAAGCTACCAGAAGGTCTTTAGAGGGCCGGGAGAGAGCTGGTCAGCCTGCGGATGGAGAGCGCCATGGTCACAGTAGTGGTCAGGATTCAGAGGGAGGCAGGGAGCCCAGGACGTTACAGAATCCTGGGAAGTACAGAACCGGGGACTGGGAAGAAACGGTGATAGTAACCATGTGAGTGACAGGGCCACCACGGCGGCGAGGAAACAGGAGCAGACCCGATTTGGCGGTTCCAGGCCTGCACCAAGAAATGCTTACGCTTCCCGTGGGGCCTCAGAGCATGGCTTCTACGTGACTTCACAAGCACCCCCAAACCCAGGGTGTGGGAGAGACAAATCCAGCATTCCTCAAAATGTTTACAAGGTGGTTGGAAGGAAGAAATGCAAACAGCTAACAAAGAGACAGATGTGATAAGTGCTGGGGCAAAGGTGAAGCCCAGCCCCCAAGAACAGGACTGGGTGTCGGGACCTGAGGTCTGTTTCAGGCTCTGCTGGCTTGGTTACCTCGGGGCATTTGCTCTGCCTTTCTGGCTCTCACATCTATAGGATGCGTGTGCGCCCACAGTCCCCTTTGGTGTTGGCCTAGGACAGGGTTTGATAAATGATGGCCCACCACCTGTTTCTATGTGGCTCACGAGCTAAGAGTAGCTTTTACACTTTTAATGGTTGAAAAAAAACAAAAACAAAAGAAGAACAATATTATATGCCACATGAAAATTAGATAAAATTCAAATGTCAGTGTCCATAAAGGAGGTTTTCTTGGAACACAGCCACACACCCACTCACATCCTGTCCCTGGCGGCTCACACTGCAAAGGCAGAGGTGAGTAGTTGTGACAGACTGTGGTCCCCAAAGCCAAAGTATTTACTGTCTGGCCATTTATGGAGAGGAACTGCCAGCCCTGGTCCAGAGCCTCAGTACCTCCCTGTGAGTCCTGGCCAATGGGAGGATCAGCAGCGGGGTCTCCTGCCCCTCTCCCCCAGCCCGATGACAAGGTGAGGGCAGTGGGGGACACTGAGTGAAGTGATTTGTGCAGAGCCACCTAGCCAGGCTGAATGAAAGGATAGCAGAGAGGGAAATAAAGTAAGGACAAGCTCTGGGTGGATGGAAAAAGAGGAAGGAAAACGGTGAGAGGAGAAAGGGGGAAATGGGGATCTGGAGGGGGGCTCTTCCCCAGGGATCACCGGCCAGAGCCAAGCGCTGTCAGGTGCAGGAAGCTCTCCAGCTCCGTGCAGGGGGCCTCGTGGGTCTGCCGCTCGGCTCTTGAGTAACCCTGAGCCTGGTTTCCCTGCCGAGTAACTTAACAGGGTCACTTCCACTCTTGTGAGCAAAGACAGCTCCTGATAAGGCTGTGCCTCCACGTCCGTTGTCCGTGGGATGGAATAGGCCACCCTAGGGAGTGCTCCCCACCCCGGGGCCCGGCAGAGTCCGGGAGCGCATCTAGCCAGGCCCTGCCTCAGGACTTGACCCTCTTCCCTCAATACACACTTTCCCCTCCATCAAGGGTGGGCAAACTGTGTCCTGTGGACCAAATCTGGCCCACCTCGATCTTTGTGAATAAAGATTCATCGGAACACAGTGGCAGTCCTTTGTCTACCTGTTGTCTGCAGCCATCCCAGGCTACAGTGGCAGGGCTGAGTGGTTGGGTCGGAGACCACGTGGCTCCCACAGCCAAAACTATTGACAGAGAAAGCTTGCCGACCCCGGCTCTAGATTGTAACACGGCTCACTTCTTCTCATCATTCTGGTCTCTCAGTTTAAAGCCACCCCATGCCCCCCCGCCACCGTAAGAATACGAGTTAGTCTCCCACCCTAGTCACTCTCCAGTGCAATGCTTTATTTTCCTCATAGTTGTTATTACGCTTTGAAAATAGCTGTTTACTTGTGGGTTTAACACCAGTCTTTCCTCACTGTGATAATTCAAGCTGCAAGAACTTTGATTCACTGATACATTCCAGTGCTGGAAATGAATGAATGAACTAATGAATGAAAGAATGAATGAATTGCTGTGCTTCTCCAGATGCCAGAAATTCAGAGAGAAGCTCCCCCCACCCCCTGGCATTGTGGTCAATCCTTATTCTGGCCCCTGGGGGTGGATGGTTTGGATCCAGAAGTCCCAGAAAGTTTAACCTACGGCCTCCTTTTTTCTCCTGCTTCCTTAGGGTCTTGAGAAGCAATGGCCACAGAAGCCCCTGTGAATATCGCCCCTGAATGCAGCCCTGTTGTTGGCACAGCAGCTGACAGCTTCGTTTGGCAGCCGAACTCGCCCAGCATGCATGTCATAAGGCCCAAATCCGCCAAGGGCCGGACTCGGCCAAGTCTGCACAAACCCCAGGGCCCGGAGGTGCGCTCCCGCCACACACCATCCTCTCCGCCTCCAGCCGTTCCCTGTGAGTCGCCAAGCAGCCAGAAACTGGGGGTCTGCATGCCCAAATCTCCAAGTCAGGGAGCTCCCGATGAGATCCCGGAGCTGCGGCAACAAGTGCCCATCGGGGCTTCCTCTTCCCTCAACAAATACCCAGTCCTTCCTTCCATCAACAGGAAGACCGTAGAGGAGGGGGCCGTGGAAACCATAGCTAAGAAGGCTGGCTCCCTGCAGCTGAGCAGCATCCAGGCTCTCTACCAAGAGCAGACCTGCACTGTGAGGACGAGCGAAGAAGATTCCAGAGCCCCACCTCATTCCCTGGAGAGGAAATTTGTCGTCCAGACCATGAGGCAAAGTTCCTACAGGGCCAGAGACCTGGAGGAACCATCAGATCAGGAGCCAAGGCTGCTGCTGGCTGTCAGGTCACCATCAGGCCGAAGGTTCGTCCACCATTTCCGGCCAACCGATGCCTTGCAAACCGTTGTCGCTGTGGCAGAACACAAGAACAAGGCCACCTACCAACGCTGCAGCATTGAGACTATGGAAGTGCCCAGGAGACGTTTCTCTGACCTCACCAAGTCTCTGCAGGAGTGCAGAATCCCCCACAAGTCAGTGCTGGGCATCTCACAGGAAGATGGAGAGGGGTGGCCCTGAGTCCGCCGCCACCCAGCTGGGATCCTGGGTCTCTGAGCAAGGAGCATGCTTGGGTGGCGTGGCCTCCCAGGCAGCTTGGTTCCAAGTGCCATATGAACCTGGTACCACTGTGACTCCTGGGATGCTCGCTCTCCGAGCAGCTTCTTTGAAGCAGTGAAATCGGCACATGCCCCAAGTTCATTAAGAAGTTTCTCCTCCTCCAGCCATTAAATTCTCCCCACCGCTGGAGCGAACTGTCAAGTTAGCAAGGCTGTTCCTGGAACAGCTATGACCAGGCTTTCTTTTCTCCTTGGATCCTTTTCTGAAGCAGCTGCCTGCCTGCCTTTACAGTGAACTCACGCTCTCTTGAAGCCAGTGGTTTGCCTTTCTGTATTTGATGCAGGATTAAACACTTCGCAGAGAGGACTCTGCTCTGGTCAATAACCAGAAATACTGCCCTGGCGTTTGTGTTTCTTGCCAGCATCTTTAAGAAACAGGCGGTTGACCCTATCTTGGGAGCAGCCTCTTTGCCAGGCTCGGGTGACCCGAGTTTCTTGGGGATTGCCATTTGTGTGAGGTGATTTCTGAGGAAATAATAGGCCTTTAGCTAATACAAACCCGCCAATACATTTCTTAAAAGAGCCTGAGAGCTGGAAAGTAAATCCCTTCCACAAGCATAGATTAGCCAGTAGCTACTTTACTTTTAGTAGAGATTGACCAGGTCTACAATTTTTGGTAGCTACTCCCTGTGTACAAAATTTTTCCCAGACTGAGAAAAGCCAGCGTAATCTGACGTCCTTTGCTTTTGTCAGTAATGGAATCTTGTTTTTAAATTGCACACACCTGCAAGTCTGCAAAGTATGTAGGAAAGCCCCCCTTGGCTTACCTGGGTGTGGACACGTTGTCTGATCCCCAGTTTCAGTGTCTTCTCTACTTCCAACACGGAGGCTCCCTTGAAAGGATGGCGGTGCCCTGTTCTCTGATTTAGAATCCTCTGGAGGAAGAGGCCTCCTCGGGCTGGTGTCACTTTGCTGTGCCTGTGCTAAGAGTCCATGTGCCCAAATGTCTGGTTGATGAGCGTGACGCCTGTAGCTGTGTTGCAGACCTCAGAGTCGCATTTCTCCTACTCTAAAGTGGTGATATGGACATTTGCCAAAGTTCTCTTGTGTTGTGAGCTCAGCAAGACTCCCCCGTCTCATCTGGATCCCGTTTATGGCCAAAGCACCACCCAGGATAGGGGAGACCTGTCCTCCCCGAACCCGGCCATCACGCAGCCCTGAGTGCTAACATGCATCCCTGCCTCCTAGGTCCCTAGTGAAGGCAGGCGGTCTAGAAGTGTCCTAGTGTTGTCACCTCTACAACACGTGCATCTTGTGCACAGATAAGGACTGTGGTTGGAAGTGTTGCTTCCAGCAAATCGATACTTAGCCATGGAGATGAATCGCAACATTGCTGCCTCTGAAGAAGGCTCATCTTGTCCCAACTGCATCCCACGCCGCCCAGATGATTCTAGAATAGGTTATTTTGGAACATTTTTCCAAGTTTCTTATTAAGATACCAAATACCATTTGGTCAGCCGCTCCTTTGTCTGCAAAGATCAGCTTGTGGTGCCTTGGGCAGGCCCACACGATGGGCCACATTCCCCCCGCTGCTGACCACACAGAAGGGCCTGGTGACTTGAGCCTGGAACTCACAGTACAGGAGTTTCACCTCCCACCCAGGACTCAAGCACATTAATTCTGCCTCTGATCTAGGAAGCTGGGGGAAGAGCCTCCCACAAACTCACACCTACTCTGCGGTAAGAATAAAATCCCACCCACCTGGGACTTGGTAACTTCTCCAGGCAGGAGATCTTTAGATCGCGGTGAAATGGAGCATGCTTGAAGGGGGCAGACCTTCCGCACTTGGGGTTTTGCTATTGCTGTTGAACTTAGACTTTGGGGTGGCGGAGAAAAATGGAAGGCATAGAGCATAGAAATAGTTTAGGATAGCTTGGGATATGCGAACAAAGCTAGATTTGAAACACTTTAATCAACATTTCTGCAGGGATGAAAGATGATGATACTAACAATAAAAACCAATTTGCATGAACCTGAGTCAGTGGAGAAACGTGTCTTCTTATTTCAGCCCAAGACTGGAGCCACCGCACGCTCGTGGACAGAGGGACTTGTTCACCCCAGCTTCACTCTCCCTCTTGGCCAAGCACTCGGCTCTGCTGCTAGATCCCAGTGCCTCCCCCAGGCGCCCAGATGCCCACCCTTCCCACAGCTCTGGCTCCTCGCTTCTGTCAGAGCACTGAGCTCGTCTGTGTGGGGAGAGGCTCCTGAATTTCTCCCCCAAATCATTCCACGTACTCCCCTTTTGAGGTCGGCAAGAACAGGCTGTGTGAGAATTTCAGAGTTCTTGGCTCTGCGTGTGGCACTGCCAATCAGGTGCCCTGGTCCAGTGGGCCCAGCACACTGCTCTTGGTGGCCCGGGGTAGGTCTGAAGTTTGCCCACTGTGCGGTCACAGACCTGAGTCACTCATTTAACCAACAGTCATGGAGGGGCAGACCCTGTGCTGCGCACTTGGTGACAGGCGTGGGCACCCTAGCAAAGGAACATCAGCAAGAAAATGTGGAACCATCTCTGGACTCAGACCAGCTGAAGCCGGCAGCTGTAGCTTCACCCGGAAGGATCCTGGGGCGAGGACCAGGCCAGGCCACTACCCGGTCTTCACCCCACCTTGTGGAAGCGCGAAGGGAACTCTTCTTCCCCACCCCCTCAGCCTTTTCTAGTGATGCAGGATCGCTCGTTAGGGATGCGAACTTTGCATAGGACAGAGCTTCATGACAAGTTATTCTGCCATCCCCCTGACGGGGTCCAGTAGGTAAATCGGTCCTGGCAGCAGAAGGAACAGCAGGACGAATAAGTGACTCATCGCTCAGCATCCAAAACGTTTTCACCAACAGATGGCAGGTGGTTTTAACACAACAGTTTTGCCCCGAAAGTACCTGGGGACTCAGCCAACAGCCGTCGATCCAGGGCGGCCCTGCTGAAGAGGCGAGGTGAACAGGACTGTGGGCCGGGAGTCACCCCAGAACTGCCCCACGAACACACTTCACGAGGAAACGAAGACAAGCCTTGAGGCTTCCACTCCAATTAAAAACTTGAAAGACCAGTGACAGGTCGCTGTCACTGTCATGCATGACAAAAGTAAGGCCATCCACGCCCTAGGCTTTGCTTTTGTTCACGCTTTTAGCACCATTTTAGAGGGGTGTCTAATGTCAAATAAAGCCATCCTGCCCTAAGGGGCAAAAAAGCTTCTCTTTACACAGTTTTTCATTCAAGGCTTCATAATAAATTGAGAGAAAAGGGTGCACGGTTGCCTGTGGTTTGGGGTGTATTTTCCATGAGCCTTTTATATGGTCAGAGGATCTACTTTTACACCTTTTAAACAGAATTGCAAAGAAACCCTGAGATTTTTTTACTTCAGCACGAGCTTGGCAATCGTTCTGAGAACTGAAGCAGGAATACCTGTTTTCTTCGTCCACTAAGGCAGCACACCGCAACAAAGTTAAAATTCTGAGCATGTTTACCCTCACCCTGAAACCAGAACCAATCAACCCCCAACCTCATACGCAGAGAGGGTCGGAGGCCACCGCGGAGAAGTTAGCAGCCCTGCGGAGCAGACTTCTGGTGACTCACTCACCAACACACAAGGCAGTCACTCACATTATAAAAATAAAATCCGGTGTTTTATTTTGTGTCTACATAGGTGATATGACATTTTCCCTTCCCGATGAGGGCAGTTTCAACCAGCCCTTTTTGACATCCCTCTGTGTTCCTCTCCCTGCAAACAGTTCAGAAAGCAGCAATCCTGAGCAGCTGATGCACAAGCACAAATCTCTGGGGGTATTTTTGGACACACTTCAGTCCTATTCCAAGAAGTCGAACAACTGACATTGGGTACCATTAGGGGAGCCTCATTCCCACGGTCCTGCTCAGAGGGGCGCTCTGGCTGCTGTGTTGAGAGTGGACTGTAGGGGGCAGAGCGGAAGACGGGAGGCCGACTACTGGACACTGACAGTAACCAGAGGAGAGATGTGGTGGCTTGGGCCAGGGTGGTAGCCATAGATGTCATGGACACATAATCCACTTGCTTAAGGAAAACAAAAAGGCAAGATAGTTTGACAAGTTGGGATTTTGCTCGACCATGTCACCAGAGTTTCTGTAGAAACAAACATGACAGCAACAAGACAAATACATGGTTGGCAAGGGAAAAACACACCAGCAGCAACATTCATACGCGGGAAATGCGTGAATGTTTTTGGACAAATGTGTAGAGACTTTCAAAGCTATTAATTGCTTCAGTTAAGAGACACAACTGAAAAGGTCACTATTTCACATAATGTATAGGTTAAATCAATTACCATCTTACTCTAGGGATATGATTACCGGCCAAGGTTACTTTAGGAGAAATCCTTGTTCCAGTAAAATAACACATTGTTTATTTCTCTCTTCCTTCCCTCCCTCTCCTGCCTCCCTGCATTCCCTTATTCATCCAAATCCAGCAGCTCTGATTTGGGGTGCAGTTCCACTTGGGCAGGCAAAGAAAACCACTGTCCTTTGGTATAACTGACAAAGCCCCTAGTTTCATAATTTCCGTGCCCACATGTTCTTTGCTTTACAATGAGATCTGTGCAGGAGGGCCCTGGTCCTTTTTGTGACCAGCTCAGAGCTGCACCTCTGACATCTGCCCTCTAGCAGAGAGGTGGGGGTCATGGGTCTTCTCTGGTTGGTGAGTACCGCCGGCAGGCATCCTGGGTCTGCTCTAGCCCCAGCCCACTGTTAACAAGGCCAGCTACCTGCAGACCATGGGAGAATGGCAGCGACTCTCACCCTCCCCACAGGGAAGTACAGTCTGGAAATGACCTGCTGTTCCCACTCCAGCCCTGCACCCAGTCCTGGAATACTGCAGTGTCAACCCGGACCAGGCTTGAATGGGCCATGTCCCAGAGACTCTGGATCCAGACCCTGTAGAGGTTTGTTGGTTTCCCCAGCCCAGGCCTGGGCCACAGCTGGCTCTTTTCCTTGTTAATGGAGTTCCCAGCAGGCCCTCATATTATTCAGATCAGCTGTATGTAACAAAATAGTTCAAAAATGTATACAGGCACCTGAATGCTAGGCACATATTAGGTCTGTCGGTGAACAGGGCCAAAATTCCCTGCCATTATGGAGGTTACAGTCTAATGCCTGGAGACAGAAAAGAAACAATGTACATAGTAAATAATATAGTAAAAAAAAATACACGTGATGGAAAATGGAAAAGCAGAACAGGGTGAGGGGGAGCTGGAGAGCACAGGAGAGTGGGAAGTGGGGTAGGGGGAGGTTGTGGGGTGCGGAGTGGGGTTTGTAGAGGATGAAATCTTACATGGCAGAGGGGTGGGAGGTGCCAAGGCAGACCTCATAGACAAAGCAACATCTGAGTGGAGAAACTTGAGAGAATCAGCCGTGCTCCAGGCTAGAGGTGGGGGCGGGGTTGGTGGGGGTAGGGATCATGCTCCTGCCAGAGGGGATGCACAGGCCCCAAGGAAGGAGCATGTCTAGCCTATTAGAGGGAAGGGCAGTCCATGCGACTAGAGTGAGGAAGGGGTAGGGCTGTTGGAGATGGAAGCAGAGCAACAGATCACATGGGGCGTTTCAGGCACTGTAACCCTGGGTAGGATGGGCCCGCTGCGGGGTGCTGGGCGGATGAGTCAGACCTGACATACATGTTCACATCAGCACTCTGGCTGCTGTGCTGAGAAGAGGCGAGGGTAAAAGATGGAAGACCAAGTAGAAGCTATTGCTTCTACAATCCAAGCGAGAGATGCAGACCAGGGAGGTAGCCACAGATGTCATGCGAAGCGGTCAGCTTCTGGGTAAATCTAATCCATTTACTTTTTAAAGAAGTATTACTTAATTTTATTGTAAAAATCATATTAAAGTAAGTGCTAACCCATAATATGCAGCAGCAGCATCAATTATTTCTCCAGGCAGAAGAGGCTTACTCTACAGAATCCATTACACTCTGCCCCCCCCAAAAACCACACTTTTTTTTTAAATAATGGGAAATTTGAAAAATAAAGAGAAGATCGACAAGGAAACTAAAAATTGCCTATAAGCCTTTCAGTCAGAGATAACCGTTGTTAATATTTTGGAATATATTATTTCATTCTTAAAGATTACATTTATTTTGCACATTACTTTCTTGCCAGGAGGCACACATTGCATATTTTTAACATTTGTAACCCTAGCAAAAACAGCATTTTTTTTTTACATTTTTTATTGACTCATAATCATTTTACGGTGTTGTGTCAAATTCCAGTGTTCACAATTTTTCAGTCATTCATGGACATATACACACTCATTGTCACATTTTTTTCTCTGTGATTTATCATAACATTTTGTGTATATTTCCCTGTGCTATACAGAAAAACAGCAGCTTTATGTTCTTTTTCCCAATTTCTATAGTCTTCATCATTATTATAAGACTGAGTAATATTTCAACATAACTGTAATTTATTAAGTTATTTCCCTTTTGGGGAACATTTACATATTTTCATTTTTTGCAATAGAAGCTAATGCTGAAATCTTCATTTCTGTGGCTTTTTGCATCTGAATTATTTCTTTAGAACAAATTTCCAGGAATAGAATAGGTAGGTCAAATTTTATATATATATATCTTTATGGATTCTGCTTTGCTTTTTGGCAGATTATATAACAAGCACCTAACAGTTTCATTACAGCATCTTCAGTTTTAACGTTACTGCTTTTTATATTTTATTTTTGTGTGAAATAGAACCTAAAAGTTTAAAAAATATTTTTCATGACTTTGAGTACTTTAAATATTAATACTTTTTACATATCCTTCAAATAATTTTAATATTAAAATAAAAAACTCAAGGGGCAGTTAATTTGTTGTCATAATGTGAGACACTCCATTCCAGTAAAGGCAAGGAAAGAGGAGACTGGAGGGTGGTGCTGAGAGATAAATTTGTTCTTACTATTCGTATTTGTTGATACATGCATCATAGTTGATATAAGCATTACACTTTCCAAACTATATGTAGTCATGAACTGAACTGTATGCATGTTGAATTTTTATGAATCAAATCTTGGTTAAATACATATCTCTTTATTTTTTTTTCAAATTTGCAGCTGTATTTTATTTATTTATTTATTTTTAACATTTTTTTATTGGATTATAGTCATTTTACAATGTTGTGTCAAATTCCAGTGTAGAGCATACATGTCTCTTCACTGAGCCAGAAAACTGAACATGTCCATGCACCAGTCATGGGGCATAAAGAGGAACTAGGCAGGTCTTTGCTCTCAAGGAATTTCCAGTCTAGTGGGAAAAGGCATGTACATTTTAAAAAATCGTACGTGGTAAGTTGTATGCTGGTCTTTTATCTCCTCTGACAATGGTCTAAAACCAACTAAGCACCATAGTGGCAGAAAATAGTCCTATTGATCTGAAAGAAACTGTCTTGGACGGAAGCCTGAATGCTCAGCTCTCAAAGCCATAAGTGATCAATCTGAGGACCTGGGCTACCGAACCACAGTCTTCTAACATCTTTTAATTTGGATTTAAAAAGAGGGTGGATAGAGGATATACAAGATGCAGATTTAGGAAGAGGCCGGTCTGGGAGTACAGAAGTCAGTCCACTCTGCAGAGAGCATCTGCCCCACTGGCATATACACTGGAAAGGGGCCATTGAGGACACACTCCTGGGATTTACTGAAGATGCTCTTGGACTTGATCCTGGCTGTCCAGGCTGGCCCATGCTCCTCAAATCAGTCCCCAAAGGCCAGGCTACCAAGGCATCTGGCACCAACCAGCCTTGATTCCTTGGTCTTGTCCTCTAGGAAGCTCAAGTGTAACGTATGTGCTCAAGAGAGGACAAATCAACACACACATTCACAGTCAACCCTGGAGGCTGCAGCTTCTTCAGGCACAGGAGTGGGAAGACCAGTGTGTAAAAGGGTGGTGGCGGGCGCCATGCAGCTGGCAGACTAGGGTGAGGCTGCAAGCACTGGGGAAAATTCAGACCATCCCCAATATACCTTTGATTCAGCAGAGACACAGTGCCTCCCAATGAACTCTAAGACTGTGTCTGATAGGCAAAAATTAAAGCACAGATTTTAAAAGGGGGCCACAGCATACAAAACACTCTACAGATTTTTTAAAAGATTCACCCCAGATCTTCTGAACTAAAGTCTCCTGGGTTGGAGCCTGGGAACCAGCCCCAGGGAATGACAAAGGTCCCCAGACTGAGCACCGCTGGGCTGTGCTAGGTCATCTCAAGGTCCCA